CGGGGAGGGAGGGGGCGGGGAGGGAAGATGGAGACGCCGGGCCCCGGATTGCGCCCACCCAGCCTCCGCTTGGAGGCCCTGTCGAGAGATCCACCTGCTGCTGCTGACACAGACAGCCAAGCAAAGGCAGACGTCTGGCCACCTTCCCATCCATCCATCCATCCTTCCATCTCTAACCAGCCTCTCTATCCATTTCCTGCTTGCCCAGCCAATCTGGGGGTGGATGCATGCAAGTTGTTTCTGTTTCTCCCCACGCAATGCTTTTTTATTCTGGTCATCTTGGGGCAAGATCCACACAGGACTGGGTCGTGCAAAAGGATCCCAGGGTGCACGCGGACCCCCGAATCCCTGGACACGACGACAGTGTTCCCTCTAAGCTGAGATAAGTGTGAGCCAGCTCATGGGTTTTTTTGGCCTCCGGCTTACACCGTTTTTGGCTTTGCTCAGGATGGATGGCGCCAGCGCAAACTAATTTCTGCGCCAGCCAAATTGCTGGCTTGCAGCGTTAATGCCAGTAGCTCACAAGGTAGAATTCTTGCTCACAAGACTCCAGAGCTTAGAGGGAGCATTGGACACAAGCCTGCTGCTCCTTAACCAGCTTGAACTACCTTGTTCTCTCAATGATTTATATATTTATTTCCTCCTGCTTTTCTCCCTGATGGGAACCCAAATGGCATGGGACATTCTCCTCTTCTCCGCTTTATCGTCACAACTATCCTGGGATGTCGATTTGTCTTAGGGTGTGCCCCTGGACCACATAGTCACCCAGCAAGTTTTGCATGGCAGAGTGGGGACTCCAACCTGTGTTTCCCAGACCCTTCTCTGTCACTCTAACCCCCTATACCAGTGGTGGCAAACCTATGGCACGGGTGCCAGAGGTGGCACTCAGAGCCCTCTCTGTGGGCACATGTGCCATCGCCCCAGCCAGGCCCAGACCATCATTAAAGTGTCGAATTCTCTGCCAAATAATTTTAAGTAAATGAAAACGTTTGGGATTTCTTTCCTTATTTTGTTTGGATCATCTTCAGTTAATGTAGGAGTTGTTTTTTCTAAAGTAAAGCCTCGGTATTCAGGTTAAATTGCCGTGTTGGCACTTTGCGATAAATAAGTGGGTTTTGGATCGCAGTTTGGGCACACGGTCTCTAAAAGGTTCGCCATCACTGCCCTATACCATGCTGGGTAATAAGGGAAGTTTACAGACTGCCAAAAAGGTAGAGCTACAGCTCTTCAGAAGTAGAATCAGAACACCCACTCATCGTAAGGGTGAAGGTTAAGTCCAGTGGCACCTTTAAGACCCAACAAAGTTTAATTCTGGGTATAAGCTTTTGTGTGCATGCACACTTCTTCAGATACATATCTGAAGGATACAGATCTGAAGAAGTGTGCATGCGCACAAAAGCCTATACCAAGAATTAAACTTTATTGGTCTTAAAGGTGCCACTGGACTCAAAGTTTGTATTATTGCTTCAGGACCAACACGGCTACCCGCCTGAATCATTGTATGGGTGGCACTACGGGATTGAGAGCAGGTGATGGCAAACTACCTCTAAACATCTCTTGCCAAAACCCCACAAGGGGTCGCCATAAGTCAGCTGTGACCTGAAGGCAATACACACACACACACACACACACACAGGGTTTTTTGTTTTGCAAGAACAGAATGATGCTCAGCCCTTCTTAGGAAAATCCTAAGTGGGTCCACTCAGAAGTAAACCCCATTTTATTCAGTGACCAACAGAGTTTGATTCTGGGTATAAGCTTTTGCGTGCATGCCTGCTTCTTCAGAGACATGGAAGGCACTTACTCCTAAGCAGGGCTATTTTTGGGCAGGAACGCACAGGAACGAAGTTCCGGCTGGCTCCTGAGTTGGCCACACCCAGCAGGAACTCATTAGCATAACAGGCCACACCCAACAGCAGAAACTCATTAGGATTGGCTACGTTAGGGGTGTGTGTGGCCTAACATGCAAAGGAGTTCCTGCTACAAAAAAAGGCCCTGGGTTTTGACAACAAACAAGGTAAACAGAATAAGGAGCAAAAGGTGGGTGTGGCTGGATGACCACACTTCTGGTAACATGGGGTTGTGGCCTAATGTGCTAATGAGCTGTGCTGTTGGGAGTGTGGCCTAATATGCTAATGAGTTTCTGCTGTTGGGTGTGACCTAATATGCTAATGAGTTCCCGCTGGGCTTTTTCTACAAACCCCCCCCCCCTGCTCCTAAGGAAGTGTTGTTGACATTGCAGCCCTACGCCACTTGTTCTGGGTACAGAGAGGGGAAGTCCACTTAATTTACCTTGTGCATCTGCACACATTTCTCTCTCTCTCTCTTGCCTCTCACATCAATCTCCTTTCCTGGGACAGCCAGTTTTGCTAAGCATGGAGACACAGCATCACAGCCTTGTGATGACTGAAAGCTGTGAGATGTGGCCTTCACACTGCTGTAGCTTCCTGCTGTTCTCATCCGCTCTGCTCCATTTTTCTGTTCCTTCCTTCTACCGACAGCCACCTCCTCCTTGGCCTCCAGAATACCCCCTTTGTATGTGCCTCGCTGGCAAAGTCCCTTGGAAGCTAGGACAGACAGAAGGCTGAGTTCTTACACAGGGCTCCTTGTGCATGCGTGCGTGCTTGGCAGCATCTTTTCATTCTGTTCCTATCTGGATCTCCCCCCACCCCCTTCATAATTTGATCAGGAGACAGGCTTTGCTTATCCCATTCTATCCTCTTTCATGATACACATCTGCAGATTTGCCAGTTCTTCCACTCCAAGGCAAAAATGCCCAGTCTGAGCACTGACCACTCTCTCTCCCTCTTTGCTGAGGATTTCTTAAATACTGCTAACTGGCAAGTAAGCTACGTTTGCCAACAGCTCCGTGTGTGATACAGCTTAGTTCCTCTGCAAAATGACAAGAATAAACTTGCCACCCTGAGCTCGCTAGACCGCAGCAAAACACATCTGTAAAAATAGCTGAACTCCTTTGCGCATTAAGACAAATTCTGCTACAGCTTAGCTGCTAAAACAACTCAGAACAGAGGTATTTGTGAGTGGATCTTTCAAGACAGCTCGGCTGCCTTCTAAATTAATTTAAGAGGCACTTAATCCAGTTTCGGAATGGTAGCCGTATTAATCTGTTAAGTGAAAGGCAAAAAGACATCTAGCGGTACCTTAAATAGTTTTATTGTGGGTATTGTGTAGTGGGTTGACCGCATGGCTAGGCCGCTGCGGCACGCATAACATCCTGCACGCTTCACTGGCACACAACAAGACAAAGGGAAACGGCCCGTGGACCAACTATATACACATATGGGGACACCCCCCAGGTCCCGTTGGTCGGTTTGAATCTACCGCCAACGTCCCATTGGTCCCTCAGTGGAGAGACCAGGAGCCTTGTCCCCATTGTTCTTCCAGAGTCAAGCTCTAGGGTATTCGCTGGCCTCTGGTGGCGGTCAGCGGACACAACAGTGGGAGACATTTTTGTATACTAGAGTTCACAGGACAGGGCCCTCGCTCGACATGACACAGTATAGATGGGGGGAAATGTAAATCATAGACCTGAAAACCAATACAAGAGATACCGTCTTTGCACGCTCCAATTTATACAAGATAAAGACAGAGTGAACCAATCACCAAGAGTGATTTTAGGGGTGGGGCCTGAGGAGGGCGGGGTTTGGGGAGGGGAGGGACTTCAGTGGGGTAGAATGCCACAGAGTCCGTCTTCCAAAGCGGCCATTTTCTCCAGGAGAACTGATCTCTGATGCCGCCGCCGCCTGGCCCCACTGCTGGACCTCCTGTAATCCCAGGAGATCTCCACCTGACACCTGGGAGGTGGATGAAAAACAAACAGTAACAACCATGATATAATTATGAAAAGCCAATTCAGGTTTTCAAGTGTCTTATAAATATTAATACATTTCTGTGAAATCACATGGACATGAAAATTCTTCACAATAAGAACAGTCCAATACATGATACTCCTCTCGGTTGCAGGTAACTGCCCGGTCCTCAGGCGTCATCCAATGCAAATAAAGTGCGATAGCCAGTAAAACGTTCTTTGTGTCTTTCTTATTCTTGTATTCAAGTAGCACGAAAAGTCACGATTCCACAGACAGGCTTGCTCAAACACCCAGGGCTATTTTTGGGCAGGAACGCACAGGAGCGGAGTTCCGGCTGGCTCCTGAGTTGGCCACGCCCAGCAGAAACTCAATAGCATTTTTTTTTTAAATTTAAACAACAAATTTTATTGAGAGTTTTATACAAACAGAAAATAAATGCAATAGGGAAGTCCAAATACAAAGCAAGGGTATTGCAAGAAACCACATTTCTCTAACCGTACAAAATAGCAATTTTTAGTTATACAGCAACAATTTGTATTTAGCATTACTGAGATTTTCCCAGTCAAATTTGTCTATGTTGATCTTGTCCAGTAAGGGATACCAAGCATGAAGTGGGCTCATCAATTCACATTCTGTTTGGATTTTAGCATAATAGGCCACACCCAACAGCAGGAACTCATTAGGATTGGCTACATTAGGGGTGTGTGGCCTATCATGCAAAGGAGTTCCTGCTACAAAAAAGCCCTGGGTTTTGACAACAAACAAGGTAAACAGAATAAGAAGCAAAAAGTGGGTGTGGCTGGATGACCACACTTCTGGTAACATGGGGGTGTGGCCTAATATGCCAATGAGCTGTGCTGTCAGGGGTGTGGCCCAATAGGCGAATGAGTTCCTGCTGTTGGGTGTGGCCTATTATGCTAATGAGTTCCTGCTGGGCTTTTTCTACAAAAAAAGCCCTGCAAACACCTATTTCAATAAGC